GCTGTCTACCATCCTACTTCCACAGGACGGTAGTACCTCCCTGGGCGGTTGCTTTCTACCAACCTACTACCACAGGATGGTAGTACCTCCCTGGGTGGTTGTTGTCTACCTACTACCACAGGATGGTAGTACCTCCCTGTGCAGTTGCTGTCTACCAACCTACTACCACAGGATGGTAGTACCTCCCTGGGTGGTTGCTGTCTACCAACCTACTACCACAGGATGGTAGTACCTCCCTGGGTGGTTGCTGTCTACCAACCTACTACCACAGGACAGTAGTACCTCCCTGGGGGGTTTGTTGTGTACCAACCTACTACCACAGGACAGTAGTACCTCCCTGGGTCGTTGCTGTCTACCAACCTACCACCAGAGGACAGTAGTACCTCCCTGGGTGGTTGTTGTCTACCAACCTACTACCACAGGACAGTAGTACCTCCCTGGGTGGTTGCTGTCTACCAACCTACTACCACAGGACAGTAGTACCTCTCTGGGTGGTTGCTGTCTACCAACCTACTGCCACAGGACGGTAGTACCTCCCTGGGTGGTTGCTGTCTACCAACCTACTACCACAGGACAGTAGTACCTCCCTGGGTGGTTGCTGTCTACCAACCTACTGCCACAGGACGGTAGTACCTCCCTGGGTGGTTGCTGTCTACCAACCTACTACCAAGGACAGTAGTACTCCCTGGGTGGTTGTTGTTACCAACCTCTACCACAAGACAGTAGTAACTCCTTTGGGTTTGGGTGTCTACAACCTTACTACCAAGGACAGTAGAAACCTCGGGTGTTTGCGCTACCACTACTACCAGGACAGTAGAAACTCCTGGGTGGTGCTGTCTACAACTATACCACAGGATGGTAGTACCTCCTGGGCGGTTGTGTTACAACCTACTACACAGGACAGTAGTACCTCCCTGGGGGGTTGCTGTTACCAACTACGCACAGGACAGTAGTACCTCCCTGGGTGGTTGTTGTCTACCAACCTACTACCACAGGATGGTAGTACCTCCCTGGGTGGTTGCTGTCTACCAACCTATACCACAGGACGGTAGTACTCCCTTTGGGTGGTTGCTGTCTACCAACCTAACTACCACAGGATGGTAGTACCCCCCTGGGTGGTTGCTGTCTACCAACCTACTACCACAGGCAGTAGTACCTCTCTGGGTGGTTGCTGTGTACCAACCTACTACCACAGGACAGTAGTACCTCCCTGGGTGGTTGCTGTCTAGCAACCTACTACCAGAGGACAGTAGTACCTCCCTGGGTGGTTGCTGTCTACCAGCCTACTACCACAGGACGGTAGTACGTCCCTGGGTGGTTGCTGTCTACCAACCTACTACCACAGGACAGTAATACCTCCCTGGGTGGTTGCTGTCTACCAACCTACTACCACAGGACAGTAATACCTCCCTGGGTGGTTGTTGTCTAGCAACCTACTACCACAGGACAGTAGTACCTCCCTGGGTGGTTGCTGTCTACCAACCTACTACCACAGGATGGTAGTACCTCCCTGGGTGGTTGCTGTCTACCAGCCTACTACCACAGGACAGTAGTACCTCCCTGAGTGGTTGCTGTCTACCAACCTACTACCACAGGACAGTAGTACCTCCCTGGGTGGTTACTGTCTACCAACCTACTACCACAGGATGGTAGTACCTCCCTGGGTGGTTGCTGTCTAGCAACCTACTGCCACAGGACAGTAGTACCTCCCTGGGTGGTTGCTGTCTAGCAACCTACTACCACAGGATGGTAGTACCTCCCTGGGTGGTTGCTGTCTAGCAACCTACTTCCACAGGACAGTAGTACCTCCCTGGGTGGTTACTGTCTACCAACCTACTACCACAGGACAGTAGTACCTCCCTGGGTGGTTACTGTCTACCAACCTACTACCACAGGACAGTAGTACCTCCCTGGGTGGTTACTGTCTACCAACCTACTACCACAGGATGGTAGTAACTCCCTGGGTGGTTGCTGTCTAGCAACCTACTACCACAGGACAGTAGTACCTCCCTGGGTGGTTGTTGTCTACCAACCTACTACCACAGGATGGTAGTACCTCCCTGGGTGGTTGTTGTCTACCAACCTACTACCACAGGACAGTGTACCTCCCTGGGTGGTTGTTTGTCTACCAACCTACTACCACAGGACAGTACTACCTCCCTGGGTGGTTGTTGTCTACCAACCTACTACCACAGGACGGTAGTACCTCCCTGGGTGGTTGCTGTCTACCAACCTACTACCACAGGACAGTAGTACCTCCCTGGGTGGTTGTTGTCTACCAACCTACTACCACAGGACAGTAGTACCTCCTGGGTGGTTGTCTACCAACCTACTACCACAGGCCAGTAGTTCCTCCCTGGGTGGTTGCTGTCTACCAGCCTTCTACCATAGGACATTTAGTACCTCCCTGGGGGGTTTGGGCTGTTACGAATCCTACTACCACAGGACAGTAGTCCCTCCCTGGGTGGTTGCTGTCTACCAACCTACTACCACAGGACAGTAGTACCTCCCTGGGTGGTTGCTGTCTACCAACCTACTACCACAGGATGGTAGTACCTCCCTGGGTGGTTGTTGTCTACCAACCTACTCCCACAGGACAGTAGTACCTCCCTGGGTGGTTGCTGTCTACCAACCTACTACCACAGGACAGTAGTACCTCCCTGGGTGGTTGTTGTCTACCAACCTTACTCCCCCAGGATGGTAGTACTCCCTGGGTGGTTGTTTTTCTACCAACCTATACCACAGGATGGTAGTACCCCCCTGGGGGTGTTGTTGTCTACCAACCTACTACCACAGGATGGTAGTACCTCCCTGGGTGGTTGTTGTCTACCAACCTACTACCGCAGGACAGTAGAAACCTCCCTGGGTGGTTGTTGTCTACCAACCCTATACCACAGGACAGTAGTACCTCCCTGGGTGGTTGCTGTCTACCAACCTACTACCACAGGATGGTAGTACCTCCCTGGGTGGTTGCTGTCTACCAACCTACTACCACAGGACAGTAGTACCTCCCTGGGTGGTGGTTGTCTACCAACCTACTACCACAGGACAGTAGTACCTCCCTGGGTGGTTGTTGTCTACCAACCTACTACCACAAGACAGTAGTACCTCCCTGGGTGGTTGTTGTCTTCCAACCTACTACCACAAGACAGTAGTACCTCCCTGGGTGGTTGTTGTCTACCAACCTACTACCTAAATTTTTATTATTTATGAATACAATTTTAAAATAATTTCTGTGCCTCTTGAACATTTCAAAAATGTTACACGAGGCTCTTCTTATTGAAGAACTTACTCCCCCCTGTAATATGTAGTACTAGTTTTTATAATAGAAGTGTTTCAAGGTGTTTTAACACTTCAAAAATGGCTTCACTTGGAATAATTGATATGTTTACGGTATGACTAGTTTTTATTCTTTTTATTTTACTATTTTGGTCTTCTAAGGCTATGTAGAAGGGGGTATAATAATCATCAAAACGTGAAAATTATTTGCATAGTTTGACTTCACTGGGTTATCCTGCGTTATTTACCTAGTGTGATTTGTGGCCGAATTCCACTGTTAGTACAGTGGACCCCCGCTTAACGATCAGCTCCCAATGCGACCAATTATGTAAGTGTATTTATGTAAGTGCGTTTGTACGTGTATGTTTGGGGGTCTGAAATGGACTAATCTACTTCACAATATTCCTTATGGGAACAAATTCGGTCAGTACTGGCACCTGAACATACTTCTGGAATGAAATAATATCGTTAACCGGGGGTCCACTGTATAACAAAATTGTAGTAAATTTAGACTGAATAAGTCATCTTTGAGCCACTTGCACACACTGTTTGCTGATGGTGGAACAACAGCTCTTGGTTCCTTTGTTTACTTTTGCTTGTGTTGCTTACTAGTGCAGCAGACAGTCATCCCCCTGAGGCTTTTAACTGTGATACATTGTGTGCATCCTGCTGGCCTGAGATTTTTTCAAATGTGTAAATAGATGGAAGAAGACCCAAAGAGTTGCCCTGAGGTAAAAAAGAATATTGGCAGGTGGCATATTTGTGGGAACGAAAAATGGTGCATACTAGCATGGTCGGACACAGTACAGTGGACCCTCGCCTAACGTTGGCATCACATAACGTTAAATCCGCCTAGCGATACATTTTAACGCAAAATTTCGGCTAACGATGAGCTCTCAGGAACGGATTATTATCGTTAGGCGAGGGTCCACTGTACTGCCTTTGTACTAGTACATCGGACGCAGTTGGAGGGTTAATATGTCCTGTTTGATTCATATACTTGATTCCAAAGGTCATTAAAACTGTTTTAACCCTTAAACTGTCCAAACGTAGATCTACGTTTTTTTCAACATTTGAAAGTATGTAAAAAACGTAGATCTTCTTTTTTCTTTTTTACATTTGAAAATGTGGAAAAAAAACTTTGATCTACGTTTTTTTTGTCATATTTGAAAATATGTAAAAACAAACGTAATCTACTTTTGGAGCACTACGCATGTGAACATCGATCTGTTTGAACATTTTAAGGGTTAATATATACTGGTTTGATTCTTATGTATAATTCCATAGGTCATTAAATTACTATATTAAAATGTCTTTTTATTCTTATACATATATAATTCCAAAGGTATTAAGTTGGTGTTTTAATATATCCTTGTTTGATTCTTATATATAATTCCAAAGGTATTAAATTGGTGTTTTAATATATCCATGTTTGATTCTTATATATAATTCCAAAGGTATTAAGTTGGTGTTTTAATATATCCTTGTTTGATTCTTATATATAATTCCAAAGGTATTAAATTGTTTTAATATATCCTTGTTTGATTCTTATATATAATTCCAAAGGTATTAAATTGGTGTTTTAATATATCCTTGTTTGATTCTTATATATAATTCCAAAGGTATTAAATTGGTGTTTTAATATATCCTTGTTTGATTCTTACACATATTAAGTTGGTTGCTTTACATGTGTTGCTTACATTTGTCTTGTTTACAAACAGCTGCCCTGGGCACAGTTGCCTTCGTGGGTAGTACCCACTTCTCTCAGGGCAAGTGGATCGGCGTCATCCTGGATGAGAAGAAAGGCAAGAACAATGGGTCGGTGCAAGGCAAGTCTTACTTCCAGGTGAGCCCTTGTTCATAACCTGTTTCATACAGTCAACCCTCCATGTAAAGAACTGGTAAAAGATTGTCGCAGTGTCCCTTTAATCAGAATAGTGTTAAAAATAGCACTAAAGTACTCTAACATATGCATGTCTAATAGATATACAGTGGACCCCCAGTTAACGATATTTTTTCACTCCAGAAGTATGTTCAGGTGCCAGTACTGACAGAATTTGTTCCCATAAGGAATATTGTGAAGTAGATTAGTCTATTTCAGACCCCTAAACATACACATACAAACGCACTTACATAATTGGTCGCATTCGGAGGTGATCGTTATGCGGGGGTCCACTGTATTACAGTAAACAGCAAATATTACAGGTCGGCCATCACTAATCCGGCATCGTTGGAACTGCTAGTGTGCCAGATTAGTGAGTTTGCCAGATTACAGAGTGGTTAGATTAGAATACACTTAATTAATCTATCAACAGAGACTCTTTCTGCTATATCTTCCTCATTTTCATCGCTGCTTTCTCCTCCACTGGCTTGCTGCTGTGGATTTACAACCATCTGCACAATTTCTGAGTCATTATAATGATGAAATTTGAAATTATGCTAGCCAGAATTAGTGCCGGATTACTGATGGAGCCGGATAACTGATTGCCGGATTAGTGCTGGCTGACCTGTACTTCCAGGTTGGTTCTTGTTCTTGTTGTGTTTCATACAGTGAACCCTCCACATGATGGACTAATAAAACAGCATCCCAGTGTCCCTTAACTCAGAATAGTGTTAACAAATAGCAAAAAAAAAAAAAAAAAAAAAAAATTAAAAGTACAGTGGACTCCTGGTTAACGATATTTTTTCACTCCAGAAGTATGTTCAGGTGCCAGTACTGACCGAATTTGTTCCCATAAGGAATATTGTGAAGTAGATTAGTCCATTTCAGACCCCCAAACATACACATACAAACGCACTTACATAAATACACTTACATAATTGGTCGCATTTGGAGGTGATCGTTAAGCGGGGGTCCACTGTACTCTAGTGCGCACATAATTTATAGGTGCAGTGGTACCCTGTGTTTCGAACAGCTCCCAGTTCAAACAATTATTTAATTGTATTATTGTAAGTGCTTTTGCACGTGTATATTTGGGGGTCTGAAACAGACGAATCTAATTTACATTATTCCTTATGGGAACAAATTCGTTTGGTAACGGCACCCGAACAGCCTTCTGGAACGATTTATGGCCAAAACTGAGTACCATTCTATATTACAATAAGTTTAAATGTAGTTAAAAGAACAGATTAAAAAGTTTTATATGCCTATCTGCTAGTGTAAAGACTACAGTGGACCCCCGCATAACGATCACCTCCGAATGTGACCAATTATGTAAGTGTATTTATGTAAGTGCGTTTGTACGTGTATGTTTGGGGGTCTGAAATGGACTAATCTACTTCACAATATTTCTTATGGGAACAAATTCGGTCAGTACTGGCACCTGAACATACTTCTGGAGTGAAAAAATATCGTTAACCGGGGGCCCACTGTATTACTAGTCCCCCTACCTTAGAAAACATTCCACGTTAGGCCTGAATGTTTGCTATGCCTACCTTTCACTAGTCTTCAGATGGTTAATAGTCGCTCTACTCACTCTACCTTGGTGGAAAAATGATTGTTAGACCTACGAACTCCATTATGCCTATAATTTTCCAGTGAAAATAAAACCAGCATTAGGCCTAAATGTTTGTTATGCCTATTTCTGGCCAGTGCGAAGACGGCTACGGCATCTTCGTGCGCCAGAGTCAGTTGATCTTACTGGAGGCGGAAGACGATGCTATGGCAGCGGACGAGGATGGATCGTCGGCCACGACGACCACCTCATCCGCTGCGACCACCCCGGCCAATGACAAGCCCAAGTCCAGGTATGTTACTAGGGCTCTGTGTATGTTGTATGATGACTTGTATTACCTTGTATTGTGACAATGTTGACTAGTATTACCTTGTATTGTGACAATGTTGACTAGTATTACCTTGTATTGTGACAATGTTGACTAGTATTACCTTGTATTGTGACAATGTTGACTAGTATTACCTTGTATTGTGACAATGTTGACTAGTATTACCTTGTATTTTGACAATGTTGACTAGTATTACCTTGTATTGTGACAATGTTGACTAGTATTACCTTGTATTGTGACAATGTTGACTAGTATTACCTTGTATTGTGACAATGTTGACTAGTATTACCTTGTATTGTGACAATGATAACTTGTATTACCTTGTATTGTGACAATGTTGACTTGTATTACCTTGTATTGTGACAATGTTGACTTGTATTACCTTGTATTGTGACAATGTTGACTTGTATTACCTTGTATTGTGACAATGTTGACTAGTATTACCTTGTATTTGTGACAATGTTGACTAGTATTACCTTGTATTGTGACAATGTTGACTAGTATTACCTTGTATTGTGACAATGTTGACTAGTATTACCTTGTATTGTGACAATGTTGACTAGTATTACCTTGTATTGTGACAATGATAACTTGTATTACCTTGTATTGTGACAATGTTGACTAGTATTACCTTGTATTGTGACAATGTTGACTAGTATTACCTTGTATTGTGACAATGTTGACTAGTATTACCTTGTATTGTGACAATGTTGACTAGTATTACCTTGTATTGTGACAATGTTGACTAGTATTACCTTGTATTGTGACCATTATGTCTGCTTTTGAATTAAATATGCAATAGCTTTTCCAGCTAGTTCACTGAATTGTTAGTTAATTAGTGTCTAGTTTATTGAATATTTATCTAATTCCCAGTTAATTTGCTAAATTTAAAAAAAAATTCTAGCTAGTGTATTAAATTCTTAGCAAATTTCCAGCTAGTTTATTAATTTCTTAGCTAATTCCCTGCTAGTTTATTTAATTCTTAGCAAATTCCCTGCTAGTTTATGTAATTCTTAGCTAATTCCCAGCTAGTTCATTAAATTGTTAATTAATACACGAGTTCATTAAATTGATAACATTATAATCAAGCATGTTATCTTAACAATTTTCAGATGAACAAAATTATTCACAGGTGTTTGATGTGAAGGCAGAGAGGGTTCAAACCTGCATGTGTACACTCTGAGGCCAAGTACACAGTGTTGTACACAGACTTGGCATGTATAGTACTGTGTGGAAGATTGAGACACTTATTTAGCATATGGGAATCTTTATTCAGGAAACGTTTCGCCACACAGTGGCTTCATCAGTCCAATACAAAGAAAAAGGCGTAAGGAGGAGTATGAGGTAATCAGTCCCTCAGCCTGGAGTCGATGTGTTCAGTCCATCAATCTTGTAGAATGTACAGCATAGGGCCGTAGAAGTGGTTTATATACTGTAGAGAGGTGAGGTGAAGCAGGCGGAGGCGGGGTCATAGTGGTACCATCCACTAGTCGAAGTAGGTCTTCGTCCAAAGGTTGAACAAGTGTTGAAGAATTCTTTGTAACAAGATCGGCCCTATGCTGTACATTCTACAAGATTGATGGACTGAACACATCGACTCCAGGTTGAGGGACTGATTACCTCATACTCCTCCTTACGCCTTTCTCTTTGTATTGGACTGATGAAGCCACTGTGTGGTGAAACGTTTCCTGAATAAAGATTCCCATATGCTGCATAAGTGTCTCAATCTTCAACTTGTCGGTTTTTCAAACCATTCATCACACACACACACAGTACTGTGTACTGTTTTTTTTTTTCCCCCCCCCCCAGGAAAATTGTATCGTGTTGTCATTTAAGGTTTATTAATTTTTAAATTTCTTTTATCACAAATGTAACTCGTTTTGTTGTACGAGTTTTATTAATATTTTTTACAATGTTCTTTTTGTGGAAATTGTAATGTGTGTTGTGGGTTTAACCCTTTCAGGGTCCAGACCCCTGATGCGAAACTCGTTTTTATTGTCCCAAAAATTCCCCTTCCCCCCTAAAAAAGGAATCGTTTTTTAATGTGAAATTGTAGAGAATCTTTTTCCAAAGGTAACAATGTCAAAAGTTCGAAATTTGATGGGAAACTCGCAGAGTTACACTGGTGCAAAGTTAACACGTAAACGGTCCAAACGTATATATACGTTTTTTCAACATTTGAAAATATGTAAAAAAAGTAGATTTTTTTTTTTACATTTGAAAATGTGTAAAAAAAACTTTTATGTACTTTTTTTTTATATTTGAAAATATGTAAAAAAACGTAGATCTACTTTTTTTTTACATTTGAAAATGTGTAAAAAAAACTTTTAACTACTTTTTTTTTACATTTGAAAATGTGTAAAAAAAAACTTTTATCTACTTTTTTTTTACATTTGAAAAATGTGTAAAAAAAAACTTTTATCTACTTTTTTTTTACATTTGAAAATGTGTAAAAAAAACTTTTATCTACTTTTTTTTACATTTGAAAATGTGTAAAAAAAACTTTTATCTACTTTTTTTTTACATTTGAAAATGTGTAAAAAAAACTTTTATCTACTTTTTTTTTACATTTGAAAATGTGTAAAAAAAACTTTTATCTACTTTTTTTTTACATTTGAAAATGTGTAAAAAAAACTTTTATCTACTTTTTTTTATATTTGAAAATGTGTAAAAAAAAACTTTTATCTACTTTTTTTTTACATTTGAAAATGTGTAAAAAAAACTTTTATCTACTTTTTTTTTTATATTTGAAAATATGTAAAAAAAACGTAGATCTACTTTTGTAGCGCTACACATGTGAACGTAGATCTGCTGGGACCGTTTACAGGTTAACAGTCTTGGCACAGTTTACACACTAGTGATTTTGCCCATCTTGAAGTTTATATTAGGCTAATTCCACCATTCCAGTTGACCAAATTTTTACCCATACACCATTTTGCTAGTGTGTGTTCCATTCTGTAGATTAAGTTTAAGAAACTGCCCATTCATCTAATTCAGCTACCCATTAAAATAGTAAGAAGTCTGCAATTACCTGGAGTTTACCTGGAGAGAGTTCCGGGGGTCAACGCCCCCGCGGCCCGGTCTGTGACCAGGTCTCCTTAGGTCAGTGTCCCAGGATGCGGCCCACACCAGTCGACTAACACCCAGGTACCCATTTTACTGATGGGGAACATAGACAACAGGTGGAAAGAAACACGTCCAATGTTTCTACTCTGGCTGGGAATCGAACCCAGGCCCTCGCCGTGTGAAGCGAGAGCGTTAACCACCAGGCCACCAGAGCCGGTTTCACACAAAATTAAAAAATACCACTTTAAAAACAGATTCTGTAATAAACAGCATAGACATTGCTGGCACTAAAACATTAGTCACATCTTCAGGCCTTTCCTATTTATTTTATTTATTTATTTATTTAATGTCTTTGCAAACAGTACATTTAGATTGTGTATATTACACTTGACTCCCATTTTGAATTCTTACTGGAACTTAAACAGATGAGATTCTAAAATCTCGATATGACTCTGTGTTTAACGAGCCACTAATCAGTCTGAAGATCGACAATCCAAATGATTTTTTCATAAACAAGTTGCAAAACCTTGTCAGTGTATGCCAGATTTCTGACAAAACCCTAACTCCACTAGACTTTGAGAAAATCATTGGCAACATGTCCATGCACTCACCCCAGGCCCAGATTCATGGAACTCTGTGTTCATTAAGAACTGCAAGAAACCCCTTTCACGTGCCTCAATTATAAAACATAAGAACATAAGAATGTAGGAACACTGCAGAAGGCCTACTGGCCCATGCGAGGCAGGCCCTTATCAAAATGACCTCTACCTAAAGATACCCAAGAAATAACTGCCGTACCCAATGACACCATTCAAACCCAGCCCCTCCCACTCATATATTTGTCCAGTCTCTTCTTAAAGCTACCCAAGGTCCTAGCCTTGAAGTAGAAGGAGCATAGACATGGGCGAAATTTCAGTCACTGAAAACAATGGATGTATCCCCACTCCATAAGGATGGCAGCAAATCAATAGCTAAGAACTATAGACAAATAGGTCTAACATTCCACATTATAAAAATCTTAGAAAGAGTACTAAGAAGCATGGTTGTAAACCACTTGGATTCCCAAAAATTGCACAATCCAGGGCAACATGGGCTCAGAGCAGGGTTGATCCTCCCTCTTGCAACTACTGGACCACTATAATGTGGTCTTGGATGCACTGGAAGACAAACAGAATGCAGGTGCAGTATTCACAGATTTTGCAAAGCCTTTGACAGGGGTGATCATGGTGTAATAGTTCACAAAATGCTTGATAACTGGCAAAGTGAATAGGTGGGTCTTCAACTTTCTAACCAAATGAACGCAAAGAGTACTTGTAAACAGAATTAAATCGGAAGCTGCCATAGTGAAGAACTCTGTTCCATAAGGCACAGTGCTCTCCCCCACACTGTTCCTCATCCTCATGTCATACACAGAGATGTAAACCATAGCACCGTGTCATACTTTGCAGATGATACTAGGATCTGCATGAGATTCTTCCATTGAGGACATGCTAAGTCTCCCAGAAGATGTAAACCAAGTTTTCCAATGGGTAACAGAGAACAATATGATGTTCAATGAAGGTAAATTCCAACTACTCTGTTATGGAAAGCTGGAAGAAATAATAACTAGAAATGAGTATACTACAAACTCTAATTACGCAATAGAGCAGAAAAGTGATGCGAAGGACCTGGGAGCGGTCTGAGGATCTCGCCTTCAAGGATCACAATACTGCCACTATCAAATCTGTGAGGAAAATGATAGGATGGATAATGAGAACATTCAGAACAAGAGATGCCAAGCCATTGATGATCCTTTTTAAATCAGTTGTTCTCTCTAGGCTGGAATACTGCTGTACATTAACATCTCCATTCAAAGCAGGTGAAATTGCAGATCTAGAGAGTGTACAGAGATCCTTTAC